GATTGATAGAAAACGTCACAAATTTAGTCATTAAAAATAGGCCCGAGATCTCGTTCTTGTGGAGCTCCGCGTAAATTCTAGCTACAATGCCTGCCAAGAGTTTTGGAATACTGACGTCAATTTCCAAGGTCAAAATCAATCGCCCCCCTCTCCCTTTCAGAACAATGTTGGTTTACTATCAAACGGGCTAGGATTTTAGGAGGCACAATCTTTTGCGCTTTTTTATGATATATATATTTCTCTATTTTATCAACATTGTTTTAGGGGGAAGGGGGTGGAAGTGCTATTTTTTTTCGGAAAAGGAATGATACATATCAAATGCAACGCAAATCGCTGGGTGCTTCAAGTACTTTTGGCAGGCATTGTATGCCATCGCATGCAATTGTTTGCAGACACTCATAATTGTTTATACTAGTTTTTTAAATTGATAAATGCTTTATAGATAGATCTTCAAAAACCAAAGACAAGATGTGCAGTTTTGTAAAAATTATAAAGCTTTCTATTTGAATTCGTAGTGGTTGTGAGAGACCTGTCTTCAAAATCTGGCAAACATTAACATTGTGTTATAACTGCTGCTCAAATGCTACAAGCAAATCGATAAATTTCCCACTTACTTGTTAAAATTTCCCTGTATTACACTGAATGCTGAGTAACTCATTTTTAATTAAAAATGTTCTTCCGAGGATTCTATGAGTTGCAGATTTTTTCGAAGACCAAACAGACCTCACTTTCTCTTCTGGACGCTATCAGTAAATCCAAGGCAATAAGAAAGTTGCCAGATCCATACTTTTTTTTCCACATTCAAAATATTCTACTTCCAAGATAACGTAGCTATGAATTATACACTACCCTAACACGCATTTAATTCACTCTTTGAAATCGTTTTTCACAAAGAATGCATTCTAATAGTTTTAAAACACTGGTTTAGTTTTATTTCATACATTTTCTCTCCAAAGTAAACAAAGTTATGTTTAATTGAAAGACAGATTCCCAAAACACGCAAGCTAAAGTAGTGATTAAAAGGGTGGTGTGATTTTTAGATTATTTTTCAGTAAACAGAAGATTATTCTTTAAATATTGAAATAAAAAAAGCCAGAAGCAATTGTGCGCTCTCCAAATTGTGTGCTCGCTGACTTATGTTGTCAGGTATGCTTTCTTCTCGTTCAGCATATTTAATGCTCATGTCTAATTTTTTAATTACTGGTAGGTATAATTTGTTCTGGATTTTTGTCGCTACATGCAAAAAACATTTGATTTCCAAAAGACCTCAAGACGATTCATCTTATATAAAAAGAAGCGAGAACGCTTAAGGCCTGGCCAAACGAATACAACATCCGTGAAAAAATTACCCCAACATTTTTCTCATTTCAAAACCACTTCGTGATCACGGCCTTTAGACCATTACTATTCATCCAATCACATGGTATTGAAGAATATCTCATATCAGGGTAAGCTCCATTATAAACCAAGCAAAACGCTTCTTACCATGAATGGGTGATTAAAAATGTTCATGTGCATGATACGTGCTGTTAATTAAAAGTATTGAGTTATAATAATTAGGCATCCTATTCAGAAAGCCTTTGCCTTCGGTGAAAATGCTGTAGGTTTGAATAGCTTGGCGCCCATTGTTCAGGACCAGCCGATAACGAAGCCTGTTTTTAAGATCAGTACGAGGTAAAGTCATGTGATCAGTCTCATCTCTACCAACAGTATCACAGCACGATTGTCATGACTCGGTGTATTTCAGCATAAATTCCTCTTTTATCATGACTTTGTGTCTAAGTAGAACCATATATCATACAATAGTAGGAACATACATATCAAGATTTTGAAAAAAATTTTCTATCATTCAATACCAGATCTATATAATAAACTGTTGATGATAGCCCTGCTTGTCATTTTTTTCTCCTTAACATGTAATTTTCAATGCATCTTAATAACAGATTTGCGTCAACTAATAACACGCCTTTCTTGCTCATATCTTGCTGGCTGTTTTGGCTACCGATCCATGCGGCTGCTTTAAAAATACTCCTGTACTAATTGCAAAAATTAAATTTTTAGGCTTGTTGATAAATACCTTGTTAATAATTCTTTGTTTATTGAAAAATTTTGTCCATTCGAGATCTTATTGTAAACTCAGTTTAAAAATAATCAACATCTTTACATGATAATTGGATTTTGAAGTCTAGCTTCTTTTCTTGATATCGCCGTTCTTACTTATAATTTAATTGACTTTATAATCAGTGCACTTTATGCCGTATGAAACACAGCCTAAAATGTTTACTTTAATGAATATTCATCTTGTGACTTAGCTGATTTACTGATCGAATGCCAGGACTGCTTTCTTGTTAACGTTTATTATACTATAAATTATATTATATTCAGTTATTAAGTAATCTTTTCGAGATGTTATATTTGCTGTTTTATTAAAGCTGAAGTAAAGTATTTGCTGTTAAAGTCATATCAGATCAAGAGGTTGCATTAATGTGAACCAAGTAGCTTATTGAACTTCAATCAGTTCTTCTTTTTTAATAAGTTTTCGTTATTTGATGGCATGCTTTTTAGAATGAGCTTAGCTTTGAAGTTTCATTTGAATGCAAAGGGATGAAATAAAAAATCATCGTATATGATATGACATGCTAAAAGACTCCCAGACCTATTAGTGATAAAACTGACAATTTGGTTCACATTTTGTAGTTTGAAAGAAAATTATTTGCAAGATTTTATGTGTTCTATAATTTGAAATTTCCCATTGTTTTCTTTTTCAATTATCTATAGCAGTCTGGCTAACCAAATTCAAAGTATGGCTCATTTTGTGTCACACTACAGATGTTCATTCTGATTTGCAATTTTCTGGCACAATGTTTACGATTTGGCAATTGTATATGATACACCTTAATCCTATTTTTATATGAACCATACTACTATGTTCCGATAGTGGTAGGTAATGTGACGGCACTGCCAAAGCAAATAACCCCATCAAAACAACCAATATTAGCCCCAGTCCAGCAGTATCAATAGTTATCACGTGCTCTAGACAAAATCCTTCCAGAAACATACCCACCGAAATCTTATCAAGGTTACTTACGTACACAGACCCTCGGTAATCCTTCTACTTTGTATGGACTCTAGTTAATTGATTTAGTTCATTTAACATTTTTCCAAGCATATTAAAAGTTTAACAAACGTATTCATTTGTGTCTATAAATTTTTTAGAATTCATATCTGTAAAAACATAGCGCCCAATTTGTTTCACGTCAAACAGCGTATAATCCTATTGGTCGTTTCGTAACATCTGACACAAATAGGATTTTGTTTTACGTAAATGATCTTCGAGATGTTGTGAAAAGATCGATTTAGTTTACCAAACAGGCTAGAATTCAAAGTCTTTTCACTCTACTTTATACATAACATCACTTATCGATGGTCTGTGAAAGTTATCGATGGTCGTTGAGTCACAATAGCAAAGTTCAATATTAATCAATTTATATTCAATAATGATGAATTTTCTGCTAGCTCACGGCTTTAATTGTATTTTCACTTGTCACTGATTCACTGCGAGGATTGCCTTAAAATTTTGTCGATTTTATGCTCAGAAGAAAGCCTTCATGAACATTCTATCATTTAACAATCAAATGGTTTTCTTTCTATATTATGCTAGAGATAATGCATGGGTTACCTTGAACATTTTATCGGGACTCAAGCTTGGGGTCATGGCTACCCTTTTCAAAGGTATTCGGAAACATTGTCTGTCATTTGCAACAAGATTTGAACGTAGAGGTTTTGTCATTTTTTATCACAGAACAAAACTCACCTTTGCGCTCTGCTTTGCAAATTTTGCGTCAATTCATAATTTCAGCTTAATCTTTTGGGTTGGACAATTCTTTATTACCTTTAACTGTTAATCATTTTTGTACGGCCTTCATCTTTGCTTTCCTGATTAAACGCAATGAATTTGGTCTTGTTTTTATATACTTTTAAAGAGGCTTACACTGTTCATTCATTTTCTAAATTCCCTATGGTTTCTTGATTTCTCATGTGCTAATCCATATCAGATTTCCAGCTAGCATCAGTTCACTATAACGGCGTTTTCGGTAATTTTTGTAGCTAGGACACATGTTTTCCTTAATTTGATTTACACTATACACTAACAATATATTGAAAACTTTCTTCATCTCCTGTGTTCAGAACCAAATCAAATTTCTCCTTTCCAACATTAATAGCATTAAATTCTTGCAATCTTTTGACTTGCACATGTTGCAAATAATGCAGGTTTTAAAATTACCCAAACCGCTGCGATTTTGTTTATTTCTGTAAATTCCTCCACACGCCCTTAGTTTGTTTGCTAATCGTATTTTTCCCCTGCGACAATAGCATTTTTGACTGCTTTCATTAAATTTTATGTTGATAATTTCGTTCTGAGTTTTTCAACTGATTGCAATTGCTACAAAGTTCCTGTATGGTTTTCGTACTTTCGTTGAACACTGAACTTTATGAAACCTTGCTTTACCAAGTATATCAACATCATTATCCAAGATTCAACCAGACAGACTTAATAATTCTAGGAACATCTTACTTGTCAAAATCAATTTTTCGTTCATAGATTGAAATCATAACAACCTGCAATAATTAGTGTAAATCAATTAGCATCTTCCACAATTTTCTAATCATAAATTTAATTTGTAAACCTGAGGAAGCTTTTTGTCAACATGCAATCTGTAGTATGAAGCAATATTAGAGTGACCAATAATTGAAATTTTGCTAAATTCAATGAATGCTGGAGACCATATCTGCATAATCTGACATTGTAGTGGTTTCTTTTGAAGTGAATTTGTACGTACCGTTACAGTATATGTTCTTCGTTGTTTGCTAATGGATCAAAGCTGTTTAACGTTGAAGCCCAAAAATCTCTGCACATTCACTGCAGTACTGAAAATTTGTTCGATATCGTATCCAAGCCGTCAACATTGATTGATAACATTGTTTGTTTTGCGCTACAGAATTCCTTTTGGACAGAGAGGCAGATGAAACATGGATGGAAATCCTGTTTGATCAAGCGAATAACGTATTTGGTGAGTATTGTTGTCATCTGGCGCATGCTCACAGTCCTTTGAGCTATACTTCTTGTTCTCATATCACTCAGTGCAGGTTCTTTATTGACAATACGCTTAAGTTTTGCGAAACAGTTATACAAAACAATAAGATTATTCTTGTCATTTATTTTCACAGTTTATCTCGCCTTCTTTCAATGCATCTGCTCACCAGAAGATTATCTTTATTCCAATTGTGAAGTTATTCTGACATGTGGCTTCTGTAAACAAACTCCAATCGATCGCTTTGTGCTCAACAGGCAATCTTAATGATTTATTTGGTCTTGAAAAACGCCTTGTTTCATTTCGAACATTCACTTACCTAGAAACACATTGGACGTTTTTTGTCATAGCTTCATCCACTTCATTTATTGTAAGAAACACGAACTTTGTCCGTGTTCCTTTAACAATTTCATGGTTCGCTGCTGAGTTTTAACAGTGCCTGTTTAAAAGCTACAAAGGATTCTTGTATTTATTGTTTTTGTTTGTATATAAATCAATTGAAAATTCAATGAAGAAAGTAGCCGTAGGTCAAACATCTGACAAATTTAAGACGTGTTTTGATTAATTTTCTGGTGGCTTGGTTCTCAAAGAGCATTAATTCAAAGCTGGGGATAGCAACTTCATAAACACCAAGACCTGCAATGTTTATTGCTAAAATTTTGCGTGACTGTTTAGTTTTCGTTTCAAGTCGCCATTGCCCATTAATATTATATAAATTTTTCAATGGCTGTTTATCTATCATTGCTCTAAAAAGGTGATTGACCTAGGTTTGTATGTAGCTTCTATCATTAAATACAAGTATGCAGAAAGTGGCGCTGTGATAACATATTGTACCCCATGTTTTAGTCACAGACAACAGTCTCATAGCTTTAATGCTATCTCTCATTAAACGAAAGGCTATTATGATGGTAGACATATATCACTTCCTTCTAGTTGTCCAATAGTCATAATTACGAATAAAACATGGAATTCTAACTTAGAAGCGTCCTGTTCTATAAACCGAAGCGTGTACAGCTCTGTTTACATGATTTGGACCACTACATGACAGACCAGAAAACAGTTATTTTTATCGTGCTAGCTCCGGATTCTACTCGAAAACATTCTGGAGCCCCATTTAAATTTTCTACTGTAAAGGACCATTAAATATGAATCATAATGACGTCTGGGAGTCAGAGATCATGCCCAATTGTTGTAAAAATACAATGCGTATGCACATTGGCCCACAGATTGGGATGGTCATTTACTAGAAGTTCCACAAAAACCCCACGATGAGCTTTGTTGTGTTTCTTTGTACCTGTTTCGTATCCAAACGTTCTTCAACTTCATTCTGATTTTTTCAGTTTTGAATTGTTTACTGCCTAGCTCTCGAAAGTAGTTTTAGGACACAGAAAAGCTATGCTTATCGAGCAGAGTCCGGGTCTTTTCTTTCGATAATACCGCATTTGGTATTTCGTACGCCTGGGCCCTTGGATTTGTAGTCAGCGGCCCTAAACTCTGAGCAATCCTTGCACCTATTTGGGCATCAAATTTCAAATTTTTTCATAAGAATACACAAGACCGGCAGCGACAATGAATAATGGATCGTTTTGAAAAGGCCTAGGTTAGATTGTATACATTTTATAAGGAAAAATATAAGATCAAGAAAAATTTGGAAACAAATAGGTTATATTGCCAACAGATTATTGTATTGGTCATCGTTTCAGTGGAGTTTTAATTTGAATATAAAACAGTTTAAGCAGAAAAACCTTAGTTATAAAGGGATCAAAACTGAAACAGGGCGAAACGAAGATTGATCTGTAATGAATAAACGATTTAGTTCAGCGTGTATTACGTCGAATAAGATTGAATGTGTTTCAAATGACTCTATGAACAAGATTTTCGTGACATAACATTTGTTTGTTGAGACTGAATAAGAAAATGCAGATTTTTGAAGATCAAGAAAGAAGTTTATATTTTGTAAAACGATAGACTATTGCCAAATATTCTGTACCAAACACTCGATCACGTTCCGATAATGATAAATGATATGCTTCGATCATTAGACTACTCCCATTCGATACTGGTTTTCTGTTATTGTTCTTCATCGGATATGTCGAACAAGAGGGAATCAAGTTGGCTTCGAGCCGCAAAGTTTAGTGATAGAATAATTGTGGAAAAAGACGAACATTGAGTACACTGTTTTGAAGTCTACAGATTGAACAAGAGAAGAAATCTTCATAAACGTGCACTCTGTTTTTACTGTCTTTGCATCATTTTGCGGCCATTGTAAATGCAAGCGAAAATGGAAATGCAAGTTTGGCAGTAACTTGGAACTTGAAACCCGCAAATGTTTTTTTGACATTGATGTTGCTTGTGCTCCGCAGCCTCTTGGTAGCTGCACAAGCACTTATATTCCGCGCATAATGTGTTTACTTGCTGCAGAGAGTGTTTGATTGTGGATTTGGCAAACATTCAGATGAATATTTAAACGAGCCTTGACAAGCAAGCACAGTGCTTTTGTTTTAGGTTCTGTAACGTTTTGTTGAAACTGTGCAATTTTAAGCGTGGACCAATTTTACTTTTATGGCCAATAGATTATTCCCACCAGTCACGTGACAAATTTATTGCCGCCATGATGCATCACAAGTCTTGGATACACATAGTAACGCATTATTTATACCATGCGGATTTTGAAACGGACAGTTATTCTCGCCGATTTCGAAACATTGTATATCTACAATCATTTGCATATATATCTACCCAACCTGTTTGCTGTGCCTTCTTATATTCGGAGCTGTCTTTTAATAAACTTTATAAGTACCGTCTTCAAACTGAACGCAAACAGTATCAATATTTGCGAACCATGTTTAGGCCACAATGAAATGGCAAGCTTGAAAGATTTTGTGACTTCCGTGGAGCCTCAGGAGAAACTCAGGTACGAGGAGAAAAAACGTTAGTTGATGATATAGACCCATGTGCTTAAGAAGAACTACAATGCAAGCATAGAGTACTATCCTTCAGTGACATACATTGATATTGTCAACTACCTATTTTTGATAAGAATGTCTATATTTTCTTTATCAAAAAGTGCAAAATATTTGCAAGACTGAAGATAACTTGAAAAAGCACGAACGTTTGTCTGCTTCTCCACACTTAGATCGCCTCTATTGATACACGTAAGCCATATGTTTCTTCCTTTTGTCGGGGCTGTAAAAACCAAAATATTGGTGAATCTTTCAAATTGATTCTAACCTCATCGTCCTAATCGTTTTCAATGGCTATGAGAACAACGGTACTGTGAAATGTATGTAATTCCATACACTGAAGACAAGCACAGTTTATAAAAAATAAGGCATTAGTCTTAGTCCACTTGGCATTTTCACACAATCTAATGCCGTAGAGGATTTGTGTTGCGTATTTATATACACATATATTGTGTTTTGAAATTTGACACCTTGCTAGCCCATCAGCCAATGCACCAGGTAGTGCATTTTGGGGCTTGTAATCAGTATGCGTCTTTATGTGCATCTCTACTAAGTTTCATGCTTCTATCACAATTTTCATAATTTTTTACTAACAGCCCTGACTATTTCTATGAAATCGACTTTGAATCTTTATCAAGATGCGTGATAACTTTAAACAAATCTATTGGCACATTTAGTTATTGCACAGAACTTAACCATTGAGATTGATCTAACTCCTGCCTAGTTACTCCTCCTAGGCATCAAAGTCCATGATCTGAAAGGCTGTTGGAAGGCGGCACATCTAAAGATTGAAAAAAATAGTTCCGAAGATAGGAAGGCACCGCAAACAAGTTGACTAAATCCATGTGCAAAAGATTCTAGATATAGAATATTTTGAAATCAGCGAAGATAACTGTCCGTTTCAAAATCCGTATGGTATAAATAACGCGTTGCTATGTGTTTCCAAGACTAGGTTGTGATCCATCATGGCGGCAATAAATTGGTCATGTGACAGGTGGGAATAAACTATATGTTAATTTATGCCTCTTTCATTGCCCTTGAGACCCCGGTCATCAAAGGTCTTATTAATACAATAAAAAGCCCTGTATTCCGTTTAATACAAGCCGTCCTTGAAATGAAGCTTCTTTATAAGCCTCAAGCTAGGAAAAAACCCTCACAATAAGGCGCCAATTTTGCTGAAACAAATCCCTCGAAGTATATTCACAAAATTTTGTTGTTTATACTGATTTGTAATGTTTGCAATACTGTTTTCCTTGATTGTGAAACTTGTGAAAAAATATTTTGCGGTACAGAATTTAGATTTTGTGTAGACAGAAGGAGTTCGTTTTCTCTCTTGGACTCCATTGTTAATTTTTCTTTAGGCTCGCGGCACTGATTGGTCAACTATACCGGTCTTGTGCTTGCGTTTTTCTGATTGGCCTATTTCGATCCACAACTGGGTATATATTTTTCATCGTGTTCGCTCAGACCCTGATTCTGACGTTTTATGCTCTGAGGAGTGTCAGACGAAAGAGCTTTTAGTATGTTGTAAAATATTTGCTTTTTCATAGCCATTTTCAAATTGTGAAACTGCTTTTAAAGACTTATTTCTGCGAAAATGTTGATATAACCCTCGTTTAAGCCTCCTCCTCCGAATTAGCCCTCGTCGATAACGATTCTAAAAAACTGGCCCACTTGTGGCTAGTTCAACGATTTACCGTAATTCTTTTCAATTCTTTGGCCAATTCTTTTAGCACTCTTCTATGGTAACAAAATGCTACAAAACATCGTCTTGGGTTTTAAGCCTTTGTAAGTTCCCTTCCAAAAGAAATCAATACGAGGCGTATTGAGTAAATTCCTAACAAGCTTCAATGTACAGAACTTCAAGTTTTTACTACGAGCTTCACGCTAAATGCGAACATCAGCATTCTTGTTACCGAGGTTACTGTTATCCTCATTACACCGAACAGAGAATGGCATAGATATTGTAGTCTATTCTTTGACTTTACAAAAACACGATAAACCCAATATGATTTT